CATAATGGATGAGTCAAGCCACCATTTAAAATGCGGTAACAAAAATGTTTTTCAATGTTTGTCATCGAATGTTTTACCATACTTTGAAATGACGAATCGCTCGCGCGCAGAGGCGGCGTGCGCCAGAAACGGTTTTTTTGAGAGTTTTACTTTGTTTTCGGCCTTGTTATGGTAAAAAACAAATCGAAATCGCTTTTCTATGGTCTGTACGCTTATCGACAATGAAAATGACGCCAGAAAATGACCAAACTAGACTATATATCGAAAATCAAAAAGTCTTTTTTATGTTGCTATGGTAATGACAKTATTTCATTGTATTATCATTTCACGCTCGAAAATAATGAGAAAATTAGATCTTTAATATTGCATCATGGGACACGGTGCAATTTTGGTAGATTTTACTCATTTCTACCAGAATACAACATCTAATAATGAGAGCTCTCATCTCCACCGTTGCTTATTGATATTGAGGAGTTGAAGTGTTTTGCAAGTCTTTGTATCCTTTCTTCCTACAATCTTCGTCAACTTTTCGGATTAATGTTTGCTCGGAAAATTTTTTCGCCGCTCCATCGCTAGTCACAGCGCGAGAGACTTAGGGTAGGCCAGTTTTTGCCGGATGATCCAACAATCTTGAAGATCTCAACAATGCTAGATTGCGTTAGGTATCCAACTTTTTCCGTACTCCATCGAATTGCACCCAAAGCCTTCAAAAAAGGTGAAAAAAACGATAAAATGTTGGCTCTCAAGACTCTGGGTGATAACAATTAACATTCGACCACAGTTTCTCGCAACATTTTGGAAGTTTAGAACCAGCCAACATAAAATAGTTTGCTCTTACGTASAGGTCCTATCATATGGGATTATCATACCYYAAATAGACATAAATTAAGTGCTTTGAAACCATAAACCGCGCTGCAAAATAAGCAATTTCGTAACCGAGCGCTTTCTTCAGAAACTTGTAGGCCTTCTTCTCACAATACATGTTTGCCTTATTTACTTCCGAAGAGAAACATTTGCAATGACAAGAAGTTCGATCTTCCGTATTCCGGAGTGGGGGCGCGCGGGGTTGAAAGCGGCGAGCTTGAGCTTTTGATGCAACCGATCTCATTAGGGTAAATTAGGGAGGAACGTTAATTGAAATAAGTCCTAAGATTTAAGAATCCTCCTTGAGTCACGCTCACGAAAAGTGCTTGACTAGATCGTAGAAATACAGGCGTAGTCTGTCTTTCAAATGGGAGGAGGGGGGGGAATTGGAGGTGGAGGGGGGGGGTTTATAATGCGGACCTAAATTAAATGTTTAACCAAATTAGCTCAATGCACAGAACAGTGTGTAGAACTGGCTGCTAGAATGAGCAGTTCATAACAAACAGTTCATAACAAAATAATTTTAAAATAGAACAATAAAAAAGWGAATTGCAGGACCTTTTAAGGTTGTGGGGAGGTTCTGTCGARCCCCCAAAGTCAACGGGCCTGAAATAAGTAAGAAAAACGTTATWAAGCACTGTTATTTTCGAGGAGTTATGATAATAACTTCACCAATGGAGTCAAAGTTACTCTAACTCGTGGAGTAAGTTTAAAAAGAGTTCAATCTACTCTACAATACGAGAAGTTTTTACAGCAAGGATTCAAATCAACTTGGAAAGTAACTCAAAATAACTACAAAGGGGCTCAAAATTGCTCTTAGAAGAGAAATCAAAACTTCTTCCCMAGACGATGCAGTTAAAACTGGTGGAGTTAACTCTACTCCAGAAAGGGAGTTATCCTGTACCTTTTTTTAWTCCTCTTTAGGATTTACATCAACTCCTTTWAAMGAACAGTGTGATTTTCTGTGAAAAGGAATATGGCTCACACTCTACGAAYTKCTAAYTTACTTATACCAGCARAATYTATTATAATTTCACGAAGGAAAAACCACCAATAGCGTTTGACTAGATTTTAAAGCAAAGCAAGGAATATTTTAACTTTAGGCTTTTGTTACTTAGTAATTTTACCTTTCTCATTGAATCCTCCAGCGGCAAAAATCCACGTAATATCTATATTAATAACTTAAATGGCCATTTTTAACCGGCACTCAAAGCGGTCGACCTTTTTCATGTCGTTCCCGATTATTGTTCCTATGTCATGCAGTCTTTTCACCGCCCTCGTGTGAACAAGATTTAAAGGTTGATGGTCCACTAGCATTCAATAGACATTATCTGAAAAACAAAATCATAGTGCATTGTGGTCTATCTTCAGCGCAAACAACACCATATTTGGCAGCACGAACAAAAGATGCTTGTATCTAATCTAGACCACAATGCAATGCAAACAGCTATCTCTGAAAAGACCTATGCGGTCCTGTTTTAGATTTTTTCGTGTATGGAAAATGATTTGACTTTAAATATCCATCCGGAATCCTTTTCTAATCGTCGTTTTTGTGATCGATTCTAACAGTATTTCCTTTCATACAGAACAGAAGGATAATAAAGAGTTTTTGCTTAATTATGATGCATTTATATTGTAAAACATAAATAAAAACTCCGATTAAGGATGCACTACATTGACCCACTGTTTGTAAAACCATCCCCAGCATAGACCTTGAGCTTTTATGAATTTAGATAACTCTAARCGCTTAAAATGAATGCAATAAAGTTCTTTAATCCCCTCTCACATGGCTCGCCTGTCATTCTTGACATAAGAGCCAATCAATTGGTAATGTAGACCTAGTCACCAACGCTTTGTATAATACCTTAACTGACTATCTTGGTGGTATGTGATTGACTGTACTTTCTAAGAAAYACAATTAACCAATTAAATGCAGGRCCGAATTGTCTAATTAACAGCTGAACTCTTTTGGAAACAAACCGTWAGGAAATACGCTCCAGTGGTCATAGAAAACAAGGCTTGTAYAACTGAAAGYATTATRCGCAAAATCTACTTAAAGGAAATAGTTGTTATGGATGCCATAATGTTAATTTAATCCCCAAGTCTTTGCCTTACTCAGTCTATTATTATCGTACATATAGAGGATATTACATGGCGYGCAGAGATATACAGATTTTATCTTCGAGTGAGAGATTTTYACGTATCGCCAAACGACCATGTAATATTCTGTTTATCATATATTGGTGKGCAAGAAGGTTTTAAAAAGTGTCAACCCATCACCCAAAAACATTGTAGATAGACCACCATAAATTACCAATGAATTTGAGTGATTGATTTTGAAAATTTATACTTAGATCTTCTAAAGGTTTGACCTATAATGGCCTCGTTCTTTTCAAATGTTTTTTTTTCCAGTCATGTTTGAAAGCAAAATATAATACTTGTACATGGTACATAAAAGTTCTTCTCGACACAAAGAAGTTCATAAATGTTGTCTATAAAATATCARAAGTCTTTATAAAAGAAATTYCCAAAGGCGTCCGCATAATTGTACTTTCTCAACATTTTGGAGAAMGTAKAATTTTTATTATCATTACCAATGCACAAATAAAAACGCTCAAAAACTTCTGGAGWGATTAAAATAAAAACTGAATTWAAAAAAAACGCTCAAAAGAGTGAAGTGTCCATAATATAAAAGTCTCCAGATGATAATATATATAGTGCTTTCACGACATTAAAGAGACATTTATAGCATTTTGCAATATTGAGTTTTCTATATCACAGGAACCAATAAAACGATTGAAAAAGAGTAATCGGTGAGATAGATGAACGTGAACACGTAAAAGATCTAATAAGAGAGGTTAAAAACAGATGAAGAAATTCTAACCGTTGATATACATAAATATATCGATATCCAGAGTGATAGAATGATATTTCTATAGGTCGTAGCATGTTTTGTAGTGGTATTTGGGATAAATACCACGCGTGATATTTCTAAATTGTCAAACAAATTTTACGAGCGAAGCGAGTGAAATTTGCGATAATTTTGAAATATCACAAGGTGGTATTTATATCCCAAATTTCACGTACAAAACATGCTATTATTTGCTTATAAACTGGTTGAATAAAATTGTGCAATTTGAAGTAACACTATTAAGGATAAATACTATTCCTCTAAGCCAATCAAATTGCACAAATTTATCGAAACAGATATCCAACAGAGTTAACTAACCCTTTAAATTGGTCGCCAAAATACGGGATATGCTTGAATAACCTTAAATAAGTATAATAGAGTTTGGTTGATTTGAAGGATTATTTAGCGAAAAAACAGCGAAAATCACATGATATTTACCATCATGCATTTCATATAATGATAAATGTTCCCGGTCAGAATATTTGCAAATGACTGTAAATACTAAAATGGCAATTTATTTCGAACCTTAGAACCCCTCACTTACCCAACTACTGCTTAAGACCTTAATTCGCACAAACGAGGAATCAGGGATGAATAAAACTGCACTTAGTCAAGATATCCGGACGGTCTAAATTAGTTTGRACATTTAGATGTTATTTGGGAGGYGTTTGTGCAATATGGGAAAATGGTTCGGCTTGGACGAAAGATTTAGGTCATAACTCAACTCCTTCCTGTCACCGAACGCTTTGCTAAACAATACGGAAGTTATTAAGGCAACAAAGGACTTAAGCTCATATATAGTTCACCACAGGTGAAGAGGATCCACATATTTGTCTGTGTGGTCGGATATTCTCATGCACATCTAAGGTAAGCAAAATCTTCTAAAAATCCTTCTTTCATAAGCACTTATTTGTCATAAAAAAAACATCCACAAAAACAAAGCTTTGATCAATCAAGGAGCCTGCTTTTTGAGCATGGAGCCCAAAGCAAAGCCACTTCAAAAACCACTATTGTACAAACTTAAGGAATTGAAGAGGTTTTTTATATAAAACGAAACTAGTTTTCCTAAAAAATCCTGGTGTTTTGTTGCGTAAAAGGTTGGTAATATAGGTTTAAACTCTTACACAAAATGACAAAGCCACTTCATTTTTGTTTTAATGAATCAAAAGCTTTCTTGCTGTGTTTTTTAGAGTTATTGAGGCAGAACACTCGAAAARTACGCGAGAACCACTCTATCTCGCTTTGTGCTTTGAGCACTTTCCTAAAAAATTCTACCTYTCTCCAAGTGACTTAATGAAGCGATAAGGAAAGATCGACCGTGGTTTAATGTGAAATAAACCTGCCGGGATTCTCCCGGGGTAACAGGAAGRAGAAACTTAAAATAACAAGCATGCTAAAGGATCTCTTTTGATCATTCACCCAAGTTTTTTATTTCATTAAACGACAGCAATTCGTCCCTTTTATAAGAATCAAAACATAATTTTTCCGTCTCTGGGTGTTACTGGTGAAATTGAGGACGTTTTTTTTTTTGACCAATCAGGCGCACGTAGCTTTGAAACACGCGCACACCTGCTCTATCCTTCATGATCAAGAAACTTTTATTTAGTTGAATGATATCTCAATATTTGACTATTTACATCAGATTTACACAAGAACTATAATTCTTAGTCTGTCACTTCATGATGGAGTTTTTTTCGACATGGTATTGATATGTAGATGACTGGTTAACATGTCTCATGCGAGCGCAAGTGCTTTCAGATCGTCTTACAGGAAAGTGCTTACGAAAATAGATGATAGAGAGAATTTACGTAAGCTAGTGAACGTAAACGCTTATTAGACGACGTAAGCTTAAATGTGCATGTCTGCGAACAAAAACGCTTTCTGCTTGTCTCTCAGGGAAGTGCTTACGAAAACAGATGTTACAAAGATTTTAATGTAGACAACGGAAAAGCTTTGCAGACTATAACGTAAATGTCTCTTCGAACAAAAACGCTTTTTGATCGTCTTTCAGGGAAGTGCTTGCGAAAATAGATGTTGCAGAAATTTTACGTATAAGCTAGTGAACGTAAATGCTTAGTAGACGACAATCTAAATGTCTCTGTTAACGCAAAAACTTCCAGATCGTTTTGGACAAAAGTGCTTACGGAAATAGATGTTACAGAGCGTTTACGTAAGCGAGACAACGGAGAAACATAGTAGCAGTAACTTAAAGTCTTAGTAAACGCAAAAACGTTCAGGTCGTTTTTGGACAGAAGTGCTTACGGAAATAGATGTTACAGAGCGTTTACGTAAGCGAGACAACGGAGAAGCTTCAGTAGCAGTAACTTAAAGTCTCTGTTAACGCAAAAACGCTCAAGATCGTTTTTGGACAGAAGTGCTTACGGAAATAGATGTTACAGAGCGTTTACGTAAGCGAGACAACGGAGAAGCTTAGGAACTGAATTGTCTCTATGATCGTGAATACTTTCTGATCGTCTTTGAAAGAATTACTTAGGAAAATAAAGACGTTATAGAGCGTTTACACATACGAGAGAAGGGGGCTGTAGCTCTAAACATGAAAAACCGTTAAAAGAATGCTCTAGGGCGAAAGGGACAAAAGTATTTGTTTTTTAATAAGTAATTTTGAGTATTAATAAACCTATTTTGTTGTTTTGTCTTGATATACAAATTAACTCCATCAGATTTGAATGAGTATTTGTTTTCAATAATCTTATGTTTATTATTTTTAGGCAGGATTTTCTAGAAAATAAAAGATTTTCAGCGMCATYAATTAGAAACTTAATAGCCTCGAARARAACATATCTTTACCATGAGCAATTTCTATAACTGCTATGGGCAATTAATTCAATATAAAATACTTTTCCATCTTCAAGSCTCATTTATCATATAATCTATTATATAGAATCAGTTTAGATTGGTCGAGGAGCTYGCTTTTGATTGAATGTAACGTTTATTATAAAGGAATAAAGCTTCTAGGAAATCTAGTTTAATCGATTTCAACTTTAAAACTGCAGTGTATGGTCTTAAGCGCCGTTTACACGAACAATTTTTCCTTGACAAGCTCCTTGACAAGGAAAAATTGCCTGTGTAAATGGTCAACAAGTTTTGCTCGACAATTCTTCCTTGACAATGTTTCTTTGCTAGTATAAACGAAGAACAAGTTTTCCTTGACAATTTTTCTTGTTATCCATTTACACGAGCAAATTTCGTGATCCTTAAAAATTTTTCCTTGTCAAGGAAAAGCAAACATGTTGGCTTTTCCTTGACAAGGAAAAATTGTCCATTTTGCCTCATTTACACGAGCAATGTCAAGGAAAAATTGCTCGTGTAAACACCGCTTTAAAGTGTCTATATAATTAGTCACTACTAAGCTACTGAAGGATAGGGAAGAGTATGACTCATTGTATCTTAAATCTACCGGTACAGTTCGCATTTCCTTAGTAAGAAAATTTAGAAGTTGTTTTTCACTACTATCTGGTAAAACCTATTTATTTTTTCTCGAAAAAACCTTGCGAATTCCCTTTAATTAAATTTCCGCAGACGTGAATCTATATTGCTGCACACACACACAAATGTCTCCAGTAAGCATGTWACTTTGCAGAAAAACAAACACTCAAAATATTGCCAATTTTTCATGTCCTCCTACAAACCTGTTTTTGTTTTTCTACAATAAAAATTTAAAAACGGCTTTTAGTGAGATAGTTTTGAGGGACTGTAAAATATGCAAGGGCCACAACTCCCATGCATTATGCATTTTCAATAACTCTTAACACGCGACAACGCTCTGCAAGCAGTAATTTGGAGCTTACAATTCCCGTTCAACCAAAAAGGGTTGGATAAATCTACACCATCTAGCATCGTTAAAAGGTCCAACATTTTCTTGACTGCCTGGCTGACTTGACTAAATCCAAGATTTATGTTTTGCATTGGCTGTTGCTGCATTGAGCATATTGTATAGGGGTTTGTAGGCATTTGGACACCTTATTGGGTATTGTTCGATTGAGCATCAAACATGCTAGGTGAAGTTCGAAGGGGTTTGGCCACATTTTTTGATAGTGCACGTGTTTGATGTTCAAATCATGAAAACTGATGAATTTTGAAGACGTTTCTCCAGCTTCTTGCATTATGTTGTTATACGGAGCATCAAACATGCTGGGTGAACTTCGAAGGAGTTTGGCCACATTTTTTTGATAGTGCACGTGTTTGTTGTTGTTGTATGGAGCATCAAAACTGATGAATTTTGAAGACGTTCTCCAGCTTCTTGCATTATGTTGTACAGACATTTTACAACTTGTTTGATGGTGCTTGATGTTGTTGGATGAAGGCGAAGTTTGACGATGTTTGGGAAACTTATTGGATGATGTTTTTTCGATCATCAAAACGCACTGATGGATTTTGACGTTTTTTCACCTTCTTGTATTGTGTTGAATGGAGCGTCGCCTTGTTTCAAGATGTTGGATGTTGCTGGATAGAGTATCAAACATGCTGAATAGAGTTTGAAGACGTTTGACCAACTCGTTTGCACAATGTTAGATATTGCTGGATGGAGCATCTAACATGTTGGATGGAGTTTGAAGGCGTTTGGCCAACTCGTTTGACGGTCTGGATGTTTTTGAAAGGCATTTGGTCTCAATGAAAGTATAACATATTATAGCGCAGTAAAAATGTAGTATAAACAGTTTGGAAGTATGCCAGACCGATCTAAATCGGTCAAAAAAATMATTGCCAGCATTTTTGTAAAATTTTGTTGCAAGAACTTGCGCGATTAACTTGTTTTTACATATTAAATARTCTTCTTCGTGGTTTGCTGGACCATCTTGAAAGGTAGCCGTCTTTGCATCAAAGTGAGACGATCGAGCGTGTAATGATAGAAACCTTTTTAAATATCTAAAGAAAATTATCCACTGGTAGCCATCATTGCAAGCTCAACGGTTGTCTCACTCCAGTGCAAAGCCACGGCTACTTTCCAAAATGACGCAAGGAACCGTTTAGGAGACTGTTGATAGAATTATGGATATCATCTGCAAATAGAGGAAACTTGAACCGAAGAATRCTTTTGAAGGCATTTGACGTCATATGTTGCGCCATCATGTTGAAGATAGTTAACAGGTTTTAATTTAGAGGAACTGCGTCATTGCATGTCCATYTATTTTTGAATCCCAAAGAAACAAACCCACAGGATTGATGTCATTTCTTGAAAATTTTTATAGTCTCTTAGAAATCTCT